TGCTTCCGCGAGTGTTGACAGTTGATCCAAGAAGAATGAAGTCCTTGACAACTTCAATCTTTTCTCCATTGATAAGAATGCTGTTTATTGGTCCATTTTAATTAGTTGAGCACAAATTCCATAGCCCAGTTAACACATTTTCACAGCGCAGAGTAAGTAAGATCTATTTGAAGATGGGACAAGAAGCAAACATCTGAAACTGTCCTTGAAGGACTTTAGAAAGGTATGTTCTAATCTTGATGTGAGGACTTGACATTCTTTGACTCCCATTACCATGTAAGAGCAGTTATATTTGCAGTTTCTACATTAGAGAAAGCCTAAGAATTTACCCCTAAAAGCGTGAGCTTAAAATACAAGACTGCCATACTGCATTGGTTGTTGATGGTAGATCTTACAAAGGCTTTATGAAAATGCTGGCTAGAAACCCCTTCCCACAGATCTAATATGGACTGTTGAGGCTTAAGATTCTCTATAATCGCTGGAGAAGGATGTCATGCTGGGTAGGGTGGAGGGTCAGAGAAAAAGAGGAAGACCCCCCAATGAGATGGATCAGCCAGGTGGCATCATTGATGGACTCAAGTGTGGCAGTGGTAGTGAGGTTGGCCCAGGATCAAGCATTGTTTCGTTCTGCTGTGCATGGGGTCACTATGAGTCGGTTCCGACTCGATGGCACCTGACAACAACAACAACATTATATTCTCTAATTATATGTTCTAATTAGGTCAATTTATAGCATGATGCCATATTTAAAATAGGGGTGTTTCCCCTCCCCCCATGTTATAGTTTATACTGTATGTCAAACATGAAGGAAGAAGACATGAACTCAGAACTAAGATTAGTCTATTCAGATTTGATATTTTTCTTGACAAAACAAACTTTTGCTCATCTGTCACATTTACCTGCTGATCAAGCTTTAGGAACAATTTGGCTATGTTGTGGGTTTTGAGATGATCGTTCTCTTCAAGTGCCAATGTTTCCAAATAGCTTTCTTGTCATTTCACATGCTTTTGTGATGGAGTGCTATTTTGTTAATAATCATTTTGACTTGGATCCTCGCATTTGTTTATGTATATTTTCAGGAGGTGTGCTGACAGCTAAATCCTGGATGATACTAATAAGCTGATCACTGCAGAGGTTAAAAAAAAAAAACAAAAAAACGAAAACCCATGGAAACTAAATAACATCCTTCTTAAAAACTACTGGGTAGAAGAACAAATAAAAAGTGAAATTTTTTAATTTCTAGAAACAAATAAGAATGAAAATACAGAATACCGAAACCTTTGGAACACAACAAAAACAGTGCTGTGAGGACAATTCATTGCAATAAATGCACATATCCAAAAAGAAGAAAAAAAACAAAATCAACACCGCCAAGATTTCGAAAAAGACCAGTAAAGCAAACCTACAATAACCAGAAGAAAACAAATCATAAAGATCAGAGCAGAATTAAATAAGATAAAAAACAGAAACACTATAGAAAGAATCAATGACGCAAGAAGCTGGTTCTTTGAAAGGATTAATAAAATTGACTAACCATTGGCAAACCTAACAAAGGAAAAGAGGGGGAAGACACAAATAACATACATAACAAACCATAGGGTGACATCACAACAGAATCAATGGATTTAAAAAGGATAATAACAGACTATTATGAAGAGTTGTACTCCAACAAATTTGAAAATCTAGAGAAAAAGAATACATTTTTAGAAAACACGACCTACCTGAATGTACACAGAGTAAAGTAGAAAACTTGTACAGATCTATAACAGAAGAAGATATTTATCAGGCCATCAAAAACTCCCAATTCAAAAATCTCTAGGCCCAGATGGCTTCACTGGTGAATATTACCAAACTTCCAGAGAAAAGCTGGCACCAATTCTACTCAAACAATCCCAAAATATAGAAAAGGATGGAAAACTTCCTAATACACTTTATGAAGCAAACATAATCCTCATACCAAAACTAGGGAAGGACATCAATCAAAAAAGAAAATTACAGACCAATATCCCTCAAGAACATAGATATAAATATTCTCAGCAAAATCATATCCAATTGAAACATTTAAGAATAAATCTAACCAGGGAAACAAAGGACCTATGCAAAGAAAATTACAAAACACTACCACAAAAACCAAGAGATTTGCTGAAATGAAAGAACATACCATGCTTGTGGATAGGAAGACTTAATTAACAATGTGAAAATGTCAGTTCTACCCAAAGCAATCTACAGATATAATGCAATCCCAATCCAGAGTCCAACAACATTCTTTAGAGAGATGGAAAAAATGATTATGAACTTTATGTGGAAGGGAAAGAGACCTTAGACAGGCAAAACACTACTTAAGAAGAACAAAGTTGGAGGCCACTCACTCCCTGATTTCAAAATTTACTACATGGCCACAGTGGTCAAAGCAGCCTGGTATTGGCACAATGAAAAATACATAGATCAATGGACCCGAATTGAGAACCCAGAAGTGAATCTATTCACATATAGTCAACTGATTGACAAAGGGACAAAATACATTAAATGGGGAATAGATAGTCTCTTTAACAAATGGTTCTGGCAAAACTGGAAATCAATTTGCAAAAGAATGGAAAAAGACCCATATCTCACACCATATACCAAAAGTAACTCAACATGGATTAAAGACCTAACTGTAAATCCCAGAACTATAAAGTTCATGAATGAAAAAACAGGGACAAACTTAAGCGCTCTAATACATGACATACATAGACAATCAAACATTGCAAAAACTAAACACACAAACCCTAGAGGACAAAATAGATGCCTGGTATATACTAAAAATTAGAAATCTATATGCATCAAAAGATTTCACCAAAAGAGTATAAAGGGATCCCACATACTGGGAACAAATTTTTTCAGTGACGTTAGAAAATGAACAAATCTCTAAAATATATAGAAACTACAATACCGCTAAAAGACAAAAACAAACAAACAAACCAAAAAAACTTCAATACCTCTAAAAAAGACAAAATAATCCAACATAAAAATGGGCACACAACATGGAAATGATACTTTACCGACGAAGACATTCAGGCAGTCAACAAAGATATGAAGAAATATTCACTATCGTTTCCCATGAGAGAGATACAATTCCAAACAACATGAGATATCATCTCACGTGAGCATTAACAACATTGGAATTCAAAAAAGTAGAGGATAACAAATGCCAGCAAGGGTGTGGAGAGACTGGGACTACAATGTTGAGGGGATTGTAAAGTGATTAAAACACTCTGAAAGCAGTATGGTGTTCCTCAGAAAGTTGGAAATAGAAATACCTTATGATCCAGCAATTCCTTTACATGGTATATATCCACAAGAAATACGAGCTAGAACACTAGCAGATATATGCATACCAATGCTCACTGCAGCACTATTTACAATAACAAAAATATGGAGACAGCTTAAGTATCCTCCAATGGAAGAATGGATAAATAAATTTTGGTGCATATACACAATGGAATACTATGCTACTTTGAAGAACAATAATGAAACTACAAAACACCTCATAACATGGATGAAACTTGAGGACATTGTGCTGAGTGAAATTAGGCACAAAAGGACAAATTGTATGAGACCATTATTGTAAAAGCTTAAGAAAAGATTTCTATACTAAAAGAAAAAATATTTGGTAGTTACTTGGGGTGGGAGGGAGGGGACAGTAATTCACAGGGTAGGAGATAGACACACCATAGCCCAGGTGACAGGTGATGGGGAGGAAATATACAAGGAGAGAATGAACAATTAAGGGAGTAGATGAACAAGGAAGATAGGAGAAGACTTAAGGAGGTGTGCATGGGCTA